TTTTTTTTTTTTTTTCTTCCTTGGCAGTAAATGGAAAGGAATGCAGCTCTCCTTGCAGTTTTTCTGTCGTCTTCTTCCTCTATCAGAGTGTTCAACTTCTTGACCTGGTGTCCCAACAGACCAGTAGCAGTTATTTAAGACATTAAGCAATGTTATTGCAAGTGTGTCCACATAATAACAAGATGAAACTCATTGGTGTTGCGATAGCAGCGCATTCATGCCGTGGTGTTGTGTAATGTTCGTCTGTATTGTGATGAAGATTTTTCAGGTCTCCGCTTGTCCTCCTAATTCCCTCAGTCATAGTTTTTTTTCTTTTCTTTTGAAGTGAGATATCGGTGAGAGTAGGCAGAGTAAAAACAGACTTCCAGCCTGTGAGCGATCAGTGCTATTCCCTAAAATCCAGTTTAAAATTCAAAATACTAAATACTTTGCGTACCCTGATATTTTTGGTAGAGCTATATTATAATATTGGGCTTTTTAGTGTGAACGTAAGCAGCCTTATAAAAATGTGTTTTTCAACCAAAGCCCTCCCTAATATCCACACTTACCCCGCGCCCCAGAAGCAATAACAATTTGAGTTAATTGAGGTGTGCTTGTGGGAATTCTTATCTATAACAGATTAAGAATAATGGCTTTATTTCATGCATCATGAAGAGTCGCATGTTGATACGCACTTCAAAAGAGCGCCTCGGCGTACAGTCGGTGTGACAAAATGCTCACAAAGCCCACATGCCTCGTCACTCCACACTCCATTATTACAACGGGCTCTCCCTGTGAGTTTGTCTCCCATAACATCCAATCACTGCAGCCCCCTCCCCTGAAACAATTTACCCCTCTTGGTCCTCCCACCTCTCATACTCATAAATAGGCCATTATGCTGGCCTGCCTCTTGGATTTAGACGCTTTGCTACAGGAGTTGCTCAACATACAAAACCTGCTATTGTCTACTTGGTTGACAAATCCAGTTTCCTCAGTGGTTGTGGCCGGTGCTTTTATTCTTTCATCGCGCCTCTAGGCTGTTGTGTTCTCTCTGTATGGTGTTACATCTTCTGTGATCTTATTGTAAACGTAACCTTTACCCTTCTAGCTTGTTGTTCATGTGTTACCAAATGAAGTAGTTGTTCACTGAGCTTGGTGTTTTGAGTCCTTTGTCCCAGTTTCAGAGGAAATAGCTCGCAGTGAGTATTATGGACTCTTCTGTCATGGTATATGAAATGTATATGTATAGATTTTTCGGGGACTAAAATAAGAAACCTTTCATGGATGAAATAACCAGATGGGACGCAGTGTGCTAATGGCTAATTCAGTAAATTAAATGCCTGAAAGTCTTGTTTTTTAATCAAATTGAATTGAAGTCCAGTATGGCTATAAAGTGGTCCACATTAATTGGTCTAACACAGAGATATTAAAGGGGTATTTGTCTTACGTTGTACCACATGTAATTTGAGATTTACTCTTAATTCTAGGTCTAAATGGGAAGTTGATTAATTGGTGTTAAGGTTAAAAACGTCAAGTAAATATTTATTTTAGGCGACTGACCATTGTCCAGATAAACAGTTTATCTGTCAGTCAATCTCAAGATTACTGAACTTGGACTTATTGGCCTAATAGTCATTCTGAATCTCCATTCCATTTCACTTACTTAATTGTGTTTGCTGATCTCTTCTTTGGAGGAGTTCTATCTGTTTGCTTTTGCCCTAACCAATCAGGAGCAACTGGCATATCTGTCCGCTGAGGTCATTTTCTGTCATCAAGGAAGCGGTGGTAGCACTTATCTAAGAAATATGTTGATTTAAGAGTTGTGATATCATTTTTCTAGCTAGCTAAACATTAAGGAGTATGACCTCACCTCACATTCGCCGTCCCAGCTAGAAGCTCTGATGGGATCAACCAGTGGAAATGGCCTCAGTGGGCACAATACCAGACATATATCAGTAGCTGAACAAACTGGGGTGTTTTTTTTGGCGAAACCAGGATACAAACTGTCTTATTTTACATCGCCATTGTGGAATCAAGCAGGAGAAGCTGCTCCACATCGGCTGACTATAAAGACAAACCCTGTGGTCCTTTCGCAGTAACCAAACAGAGTGACCTCACCCCAGCTGATGGAGAGCCGTACAGCGTACAGTAGTGAAACCAAAGCTTGTTGTGGGCAGAAATGCTGTAGTGATATATTGTATGGTCAGCACTGCTAATGG